GAACTCACTTATATAGCCGCAGGATTGCCTGTTACGTTCCACGTCACAGTAGGAAGCAGTTCCGCGTCACCGCGTGACGTCACCGCGTGATGTCACCGCGGAGGGAGTGGCGGGGCGGGCTTCGTTACCGTGCGGAGGAGGGGGAGGGGAGCGCTGACTCACCCGCCGCGTCACTGCTGGTGGGGGGGTTCTCCTTAGTGCAACATGTCACAATATAATAAGCTGATCAATCCAATCCATCCCACTTCTGATATCAGTTGTCACATGTATCAGTGTCTAATAACACATGTTCTGCATTGGATGAATAGGTTTATTTACTCCTTATACACACCACCAGCAATTACACATAATTATAGCGGTACCTGTATTTCTACACTTTATAATTCGCTGTTACACACACTCCAAATATTACATATAAAGTCTTTTTTTCACAGCCACACCACTGCAACTAACTCTTAACTACACTGCACTGCACTCTGCACTATGTTCCATGATGGCTTCATGTCCTTGACTAAAGGCTTCTAGCTGCAACTACTTGCAAACCACCTTTGCTGTCCCCTATAAACCTTTGGCATCGACAACACATAGAAAACAGCTTCTGTTTTTGTAGATGTATTTACAGTCATGTTGCCTAGCACTGGACACGGCACAGACCATACTAAAAACACAAGTAACATGATTCTTACCCAGCAAGTTCATTGGTGTGCTGACTGTTACCTAGCAACAAGCTATAACATTCATCCTATTGATGCTTGTGCCTATCATGGGGTTATTTATCAAACCACTGTCTGGCAACACACTGACATATAACAGTATTTTTGTTATAAAGGTTCTCAAGAAAACAACACACTAATGCAGAAATAATCAAAAGTTCAGTTTCAAAACAGTAGTAATTCACTGCCATGCCACACAGCCACCTCGTTTCTTTTGTTGTCTACAGTCTATAGATCACGCAGTAGTGTAGTCAGTTGAGGCAATATGCTACAAGCTGCAAGGTCGTGGGTTCAAGTCCCAATGAGGTCAATGGGCTTTTTCAATTGACCTAATCCTTCCAGCCACAGTATGGCCCTGGGGTTGACTCAGCCTTTAACAGAAATGAGTACCAGGAATCTTCCTGGGAGTAAAGGGCAGCTGGCGCGTAGGGCTGACAACCTTACCACTCATCCCATTTTCATGCTCTACAATATTTTCAAATTAGATAATTTATATACAAGGATGTTTTTACCAAAAATGTATAACTTCTGACAAGTATATAACATATTTTTCTCTCTGATGAGGTTTGTAACTTTTGCCTATAGATTATCTGACATTGTAAATAAACATCAATATATACAAACATTAAATTTATTTATGCAGGTTGTGAATGGTGAGACTGAAAGTATTGGTTTTGGTTCCCATTTCAGTGACATTCCCAGTGAATTTGAACATCACACCTTTGTTACAGGGCATTTTAGTAGTGATACAACTGGAATGGTTACATGAAAGTTTCATTCAGTGAGGATTACTCCATAAGTCCATCAATACTTTGTAACACACATCTGCATAGTGAAGAGAGGAAAGAGACTTCTCAAGCAATCAAATGGTTATATACATTGAGAAAGTGTTAGTATGATTTTCAATCCCAATGACCAGAATAATATGGGAATAAAAAAGATGTAATCTATTATGATATAGCATGGATCTTATTATTACCGCAGTTGCTGGGTTCATCAGATGTGTCTCCTTCTCCACAGTCAGGATCCGAATCACACATCCAAGTTAGTGGGATGCAACGATTTGATATCTGTCACATGAAACAGTCCATCAGTATTCTAAATCATATTGGCAATTTGTAATGCTCAACAGGTATTCATTGTAACAACATCTCTGTTTCGCTATGAAATCTCTGTATAATCAAACTTTATATTATAGCTTTCAACTGTTACCTCCAAATTTCTCTTTACAACTTACAGAAGTATAGTACATAGTCTTACCACACAGCTGAACTGTGTTGGACTGCAAGTGGTGTTGACACATTCCTTTGGGTCCTCATCAGAGCCATCAGAACAATCCTTGTCCCCATCACAGACCCAGTATCGTGTGATGCACCGATTGCTGTCACAACGGAACTGGTCATCACGGCATTGCACGTTCTCTGAATCAATAACTGAATACATTGCAGTTTGTGCATTTTACATGGAAGTGATTCAAAAAACACTTCCAAATAATTCTCAACTGTATATAATTTGGTGAGATTTTTATTCCTATTTATTTTCTCCCCTTAAAACAGCTACTGACAGAGCATTATTGGTTTTCATGATGAAATAACAACACACTAAATAAATTTATAGCAAACTGGTCAAAGGTGAACTTGAAATCATTGTCAGTATAAACATTAATTAAAATGTGACAAGAGCTCTGTAATGGGGTAGTTTCTGTTTTTTTTTCTTCTTCTACTTCTACAGCTGTTTATTGAATATTTTCTCCTCCTGCTGTAGGATAAATTACAGATGTTATGATTAAGATTTTAGTAATCAGAAATATATCAGAATATAGATAGTAGTCATGGGAAGAGTGAGAGAACTTTGACCTTTACCCACCCCCTTTTTAAGTTTCTGTTATGTTTGATTGATTGATTGATTTATTTAACATCCATAACTGTTACATTATGTACAATTGGACAAGTCAGTTTTTTAAAAAAATATATGAGATTAAACATAACATCAAATGACTAATAATATAAAAAACCATAGAAAAATAACATAATAAATCCTTTAAATATGATAAAACAGTGGATGAGTATAATAACGCAACAAAAGCTAAACTATAAATTACATGCAATAGCTAAAATAAATTACCTAAGTATCTTTGTTCTATTATTAAGCTAATTCTTGTAAAAATATTCTTGAAGGGAATAAAAAGCTTTGCACAACAAGTAATCCTTTAATTGACGCTTAAAAACCTTGAACTCTTGAATACTTCTTATTTGAGAGGGCAAGTTATTATACAATCTTATTCCCATGTTAATCACACTCCTTTTACAACGTGAGGTGTTACATGGTTGGACATACAAATTCTGCTTATGTACTGTGTTATAACCGTGCACATCTGAATACGAGATGTTATATATCCTATTTTTCCTTAAAAAACACAACGTCTCAAAGATATACAATGAAGTTAAGGTTAAAATTTTAAATTCACCAAAAAATTCTCTACACGATATCCTGTTATTGACTCTTTTGATCAGTCTTAAACATTTTTTTTTGGATTTTAAATACAGTTTGAATGTCCTTTAGACCACAGCCCCAAAAAATAATACCATATCTCAATAAAGATTCAAATTTCGCAAAATACACACTTCTCAAAATTGGAAGACTGACCAAATCTCGTAAGGATTTGATAAGATAGATGGTTTTGTTTAATTTTTGAACTAAATGGTGAATGTGAGAGGAACAACTTAAATTCTCTGTAATATATATACCTAAAAATTTTAAATTAGCTGTGTATGTTATTTTCTTATTATTCAAATAAAGTTCCGGTTTATCAATTTGACGGGGACCACGTCCCTGAAAAAAGAGTGCTTTTGTCTTTTCAATATTAATAATAAGATGATTTACCGCGAACCAATTTTCTAATTGATGCATAGAAACTATAGTTTTATCATTTAAAGATTTAAGATTTTTGTCAATAATTAGTATATTGGTGTCATCTGCAAATAAAACAACTTTCGCTTCATGAACAGCTTTAGGCAAATCGTTTATAAACATTAAAAACAAAAGAGGTCCCAGAACCGAACCCTGAGGAACACCGTACTTTATTTCCTTACGTGAAGAGGAGAATGATTTTTGATTTGGAGATGTGAAACTAGATTGTGGATGCCATAAAACAGGGAGAAACACATTACAGAAAGGGAGCAACAGATCTTAAAACTTTGTATTATGTGTAATTTTAAGTATATGTAACAGATCCAATAGAGCAGAAAAGAAAATTACGTAGGGGTATACAGCAAAACAAATAATCTTCATACAGCTAATAAGCATTATACTGTATTCAATATTATTACAATAACAGCAGCCATTAAAATATGCAGAGTGAATGGGAGAACACATGACAAAATCAGTCACTGGGCACCAACTGGAAAATGTGACAGGGGGAAACAAAATATTGTAGTTAGAAGAAATACATGCAGGAAAGAATTTTAAAAAGAATATAATGAATGACATTTATGGTTAATCAGAACAATGAANAAAAAAAAAAAAAAAAAAAAAAAAAAACATATGAAGATGGAACAAATGACAGCACATTTATTACAACATTCATTACGTTTTTGCTATGAGCCATACTTGTATTACATGAATTTCTTTGAATTACTACTTTACCACATATTCCTCCAGCTCGTGTGTCTTCATCTGACCCATCGCCACAATCATCGTCACCATCACACACATAACGACTGTCGATGCAACGAAGGTTGTCCCGACACTGAAAGTTACGTGCTGTACAGCGTGAAGGGGCTGTGTAATTGGACTGGACTACACATGTGCTGCCCTCTAGAATATGTCCATCTCGACACACACACCTAGTGCCATTTGGGACAGCCAGACACAGTTCTGGGCAACCATTGTTCTTATTTGAACAAGCATTTGAACCTGTTAACAAACACTGAATGATTTACATATACATATGGTTTTTATGTAGGAGTCCCATATAGATTATCTATGAGAGTCATGTGCAATATGCAGTCTGCTGATCACAAATTTTGACCAGAAAACACATTAAGGTTTTATAGGTTTGTGTCACATATTTTTTTTTTAATTCTTAAATATCTTCTTCTGCCTCTCATTTGTTTTTAATCTTGGATTTACACTATTACTTTGTGGAAAACATCCAGAGCAGAGCTGACTGCATCAAGTGCATGCAGTGGTGGGAGGCAGTTGCAGTAACTGCATGGAAAAGGCATATGTATATACTGAACTCAGGCAGATCAGCCTGTGGGCATAAAAACAATAAATGTAACACCATATACATCTATTGTAATAAATGTGTGTAATAATCTGAACCAATAATTATCAGATGTGGCAAACAGCATTAAGCATCAGCGCACACACAAGGCAAGCACTAGGAATCTGAACAGAACCTGCCATACAGTTTACATATAAGCATAGCAGTATGTACTGCCAAAACGGTACTGGATATTGCAGGTGAAGACAACTATTTCTTATGAAGGAATCTGTAATTATTCCTAGGTCTCCATATTGTCCAAGATCACAAGATTGTTGACTTGCCATACCAAAAACTGTTCATCACCTGTTTGAGAAGAGTTATCAAAAACACGAATCTCAAAGAGAGCTGAGAATTCTTCACTCAGTGTTTCAACTGCGCCTTCATCCACACTGAGATTCTTACTGTGAAGAGTTCCCTTCTGGAACTCAGTCCAGTAAACTGAACCATAAAAATATGCCAATCCATATGGATGGTCTAAGTGGGGTCCATCATAAACAATCTGAAAAAGGAAAAATCATCAGTTCAGTAAGCACAAGTTGTGTGCCTCCAATTAGAACTTGTTTGGTAGGACATGAGCTCTGAGGTGCACGAAAATGAAAGGCCTAATCATAAATGGGTGACAGTTATTGAAATGGAATTCAACACATGACAGTAACTCAGTCACAGCACTCAAGACACTGAGCTCTGCTCCCCCACCCCCACCCCAAGGGTTTGTTCTGGAGGCAAAGTTATTTCACATTTCAAGGCCATAGCTCAGCTCACCAAACCTACTGAACAAATAAAACAAATGATAAGCAATACAGCAACTACTTCATTAGAAATAGTTAAGGAGCCTTTAATATATATGTAGTGCNGGGGGGGGGGGGGGGGGGGGAGCCAAAATCCAGTGACTTGTGCAGGTGTATCCTGCATCCAGGATAACTGTATCCACAAGATGACATACAAGACACCCAAAGAAAAGCCAAACTTGAAATTGCCAAGCCTGTAATCTCAGACATTACATACCTGTCTGTTACTTCCATCCAGAGCAGCACGCTCAATCTTATCGAGGAAAGCATCGCACCAGTATAACATCTTGCCTATATAATCAATGCTAAGTCCATTAGGCCACTGCAGCTGTGTTTCAATAAGTGGCTTCCTATGTGTTCCATCCATCCATGCCTGTTCTATCTTCCCTTTCTGCGAAGCTGAACTTACCCAGTCTGTCCAAAACATAAGGCTGAAACAAATGATACAATCAATACAAAGCATTAATTTGTAATGCCAGTACCAATAGAGGAACTCCCATTAATCTCCCTTGATTTAAAAGTTTTCTTCATAAATTATTCAAAGATAAAATCTCAGTGTTATACTCTTTCCAATATGACTGCCCTCAGTTCAGGTTCGCATCTGCTGCTCTCCAGATGAACCTTAACCCATATGCATCAGCCCCTAACCTGGTGTAGAATGAACTTCCCCATTCAATGTGAATGCCTTCACTATTGGAATTTCATTAACGTTTAATAGCTGCCACCATCGTTACTAACAGCTGCTTTACAATCAATATTTCCAAGATGATTCAGTCAATGAAAAATTGATAAACCCAGTCAATACACACACCAAACAATAGCGTTGACATTCATCTCAAAGAATGTGCCAGCAAAATTCATGTGAGATGGGGGCACAAAGCATCAGCAATCATCCACATGCAAGGTATGGCCCTTCACCGTACCACAGTAGAAACTGCACAGCAAGCAGCACAAAGAACGCCATGCTAATGGACTGAATAGGCATTTCACTGTACCATGGGGTCCGTAATGTTAGCTCCCCAACACAGATGTCTTACATTAATGAAAACTTCCAGAACTTGATAATAACCATAATCATCAATGAACCTAAAAATAAATAATAAAGAATAAAAGCTGCATCCCATGTATTTCAAAGATTTAAACACTAAATTTCAGGATCTTGTGATACTAGTGGCGTTTCAACCTCATCTCGCACGTTGGTGTGTCTGCCATGTTGGTAAAACTGATGGTAGAAAATTAAAATAAACCTTACAAAACACTGTATATTCCTTTGAAGCTGCACTACCACACCGAAGTTCGGAACCTTACATGAAGTCTTGCTAGTGTCATTCTTAATTCAAGGCATACAGCTGCCAGATTGGTATTACTGGTGGTAAAAAATTAAAATATAAACTGTGGAGCAACTCGCAGTGGTTAAATATTAATATTAAGTTCCACACAAATCTGTTGATTAGATTAAGGGGATAGAGAGACAGACAGACTGATAATGTGACATGATGCCTAAAAAGTCAAATTCTTGGAATCAGTGAATGTCACAAAGGCATCCATTAATAAGCAATAAACTCCGTGATTTCAGTCTGCAAGCGAACTATACCAACTGAGCGACCGCCACTTGTTGGCGAAGTTAGTGCCAATTTTTTGCGGACAGAAGGTGTCACGTGGTCAGCACAACAAATCCCCATAGCCGTTAATTTCGGTTTTCTAGATAGGAGCCACCATTTCCTTGAAATAGCTCCTCAATTATCATCACAAGGCTGTGTGGACTCCGTTCCAGACCCACTACTTCTCAGAAAAAATCTAGTAGCACCGGAATCAAACCCAGACCTCTGGATCTGTAGCCAGGAGCTCTGACCACTAAACCACAGAGGCGGCCTTTAATAAGCAATAACAAGCTCTAATTCCCAACAGCTACATATGCAAACTACAGTCAAGGAACTACTGGGGATGGTGTTTTCTCTTAATCCACAAAAGTGATATACAGAGAGCGGTGCTCTAGCACAGGAGTAACCACTATCAGAGTCCAAAACCTAGCAATCTGCCTGTGATAACAAATCTAGAAACAAACCAAGCAAGAGCAGTAAAGAGATTGTGTACCTCTGTGAATACATGTAACCTCTGTAACCATCTGTAAAAAAGATGACTCAGTGTCCACCAAATCCAACTGCCAGCTAGAACCAACAGTCAGTCATTAGCATGAGACAATATGATGATCTGATAGGCATTGTTCTCTATAAAAATTAAGTCAATGGAATGTATTGTGTATGTTGGTGCATGTGCACACATGCCTGTGTACTTATCCATTCATGTAAGTCAGTACTTCACTTAAGACATGGTTGGGAAACTGAAAAGTGGACATAAAACAATATTTATCACACTGAGACTCTCTAGGTATGAGCTTGGAATTTGTTCAGGTGATGTCTATGTAAAAGGGCCAGAGAAATCTAAGCTGACGTCATACCAATGAGGAGCAGACACTAATAATGTTAGTCACTTACCCCATCTTTGGATGAACAACTATGGCTCTGGGATGGTACATGTTTGAGTAAAGGAAATGTTTCCGCTGCGATGTATCATTCAATCTGGCTACACCAATAGCTCTCAGCCCCTGGTCAGTCCAGTAGATATTGCGGCCCATCCAGTCAATGGCCAAACCTTCACAGTTATTTATACCTTTGTTAAGAACCACTGAACGCTCTGATCCATCTATTTTCTGCCGTTCAATTACATATCTGGAAATAGAATTTTGCTCAACTTATACCTTCCTTGTAGCAAAGACAACTGTAATGTATATATTTATATTTATTTAATTCTGTATTCACAATAAATACAGGCACAAGAGCTTGGTCACCCCAAATTTTCTAAATTTATCTTTTTCGGGTGATGAAAACTATGCACTAATGGTTCTCTAATTAACCTTTATCGGACGGACCATTTAATTTCCAGTAGGAGCAGCTGGATGGAGTTTATTTAAATGCCTGCCCTTCTAGGGCAATGAAATTGTAAGCATGTTTCTAAAAATGGTGTGATTTCAACATTTTTTATGATAAATGAACGAAATGAACGCTCCTTTAATGTAGAAAGAATAGAGAATCAGATATTCTACATTACAGGTTTTAATATCTGTAAAATTTTTTTATACTGATTCCCCCCCCAAAAATTCCCGAAATTCATACATTTTCTGCACCATGTGTTCTAGCAGTTTAATACATTTTCTGCACCATGCATTTTAGCAGTGTAAGTCCTTGTGGCGACTTCACATTCGATGATGTCTCTTGTTGACGCTTATTTATCGTATGGGACATTTCGGTATGCACGACTGTATGCGTCTGATATCGCTCGCTGTGTAATGTTTTAGAAAGATACGGGAGTTAATTCTCAGAATATGGTGTTGCCAGATCGGTCATTTGTTCATTCATTGCAGTCAAACCATTGTGTTTGTAACGATTTTGAAACATCGCAATATAAGTTTAGCCACCCATGACATCATGAAGTAGATATTGGGTTCAGCCAAGTCGTGAATGAGATTTTTGTATGTCTGGGCTCGAGGTTAAGATTTATAGCTTCTTATCGTGGTCTAAGCACAGAGATTCACTGCTAGAGAGCCGTATACACGACGACGTCGTATGGAAGATGCTGAAATTGAGAAACAGCTGTTCAATGACACAGATTCGGACTGCTATTCAACCGACTCTGAATGTGGTGAGGAAAGTTGGAGTTCTGATGCTGAAATTGAGAAACAGCTGTTCAAAGACACAGATTCGGACTGCTATTGAACCAATTCTGAGAGGGGCGAGCAAAGTTGGAATCCTGATTCCGCGGACGAAGGGTCACCAGTCATCACCTTCGTCGGCAACTTGGGGACCGCCAGACCGGTGTGGCTGGAGAGGTGTGAATAATTATTCCGGTGTAGCTGCGGGGATAAATATCACTGCAGCTCGACATCACTGGCCTGCTTCCTCTAAATCACAACTGA